GTTCTGAAGAGGTAATAACTTCACGCAACTTCATTTATTGCTTGACCATTATTTTCAGAGATCCTTAAATAAGTATGATATACACAGTGGTCTGGCTAATCATGATCAAAATGGCATGGTTCATGCAGCATATACATATACTCATGTATATGTAGGTAAACCTAGATAAACTGTGTTCTTGTCACGAAGATCGGAAAGCAGGTATCAGATGTCTCAGTAAGCAGTGTAATACATGTAAGTTACATGTTTTTATTTGACACAAGCTGGATCTTCACTCACTTTCAGAATTAATCTTGAATTCAGTTGGAATAAGCTTGTTGAGCACATCAGTATTGAGAGAATACAGTGAAAGTAAGTAAACACATGCTTCTTAAGATTAAGTGATACATTTATTTGACATGATTGTATAATTATTAGTTGTCTATCTAAGTTAATGATGAATTCGTTGCGATGATAATACCTATTATTGTTTTTATAGTCACTATGAACATGAATGTCATTATTATTGCTGTCAATACCTATTATTTGTCATAAAGTGGTTGTCATTTTTGCTAAAATATTTGTACAAGCTTTGAAAACTACTGCATAACTTGTTGTTAGATAATTTTATCATTTCATGATGCTTCAATGGACCTACTGGATATCGACCAGCGATAGGTTGCAAAGTCCCTTAAGTTTAGTGAAAACTATTGGGCTACTTATATGTACTATATATATATATATATTGTTTGTAAAGTGATTACTTGTAAATGCTTATCAGGAAAAATTTTTTATCCAGATCATGCATGTAATACCCAAGTTAATTATGCTTTTCTTAAACCTTTTCAGACTTATGTAAAAACATATATGTGCCGTGTTCTCAGATGGAACTTACTGACGGTAACAAAGGACTACTCATCTGAATTATCTGTACATTTGAAATCTGATTTTTGTTTAATAAACAATTTTTCAATGAATCTGTCTTCCTTCTGTTGTAATGCGATTGTGTTCCAGTAACATAAGTAACTCGTGCTAAGTTAGGAGTTGAGGGTAAACTGTTAGGAGTAAATGCGGTGTCTGGAAAACCTTTGTTTACGTGGTTATATGAGCAGATAGCAACGCATCGTGTTCCGTGGGTGAGAGCTCTAGGCATTCTGTTTTTAATTATTACGATAACCGTAGTTGCACTGAGTTATACATCTAACAGCATAGGTATAGTCTCTCCTTATGATACATTGCGACATGCAGAAATCACAAGCAAACTATCTCAGGTAGATTTATTCTCAATTGGTGACTATGAATCGGGAATCAGTTTACGTATTCTGCTATGACGATATATAACTCGAAACGCTTTATAATCGCAACACCTTCTCTACGGTTTAGGCATATTTACTTTATTTGACCACAACATAATCTTTTACCAATAGGCTTTTCCAAATATCTGCTCCTACTTAGTATTTCAAAGATAGCCTCATATACTCTATACCTCACATATTACGCAAGGGCTAATATTCGGTCTTATCAAGTAGAATAAACAAACGATTAACGAGGAATACATTTATTAATGAATTAACATGTAATACAAAATCGACAACAGTGCAGGTATCTTCTTCTTTATCAACGAAATCCATGAAATTCCCAAAAGTAGATATTATCTGAAAAAGGACATAAGATATATACAGATATAGACATTGTTATCAGTGTTAACACAATAACTAACCATTAAATATGTTTAAAATGACGAAATAATTACTTGAATTGTATATAATTATGTAAGTCAACAGTTTTCAATAATATAAAATCCATATTGCATCTGCCTGCAAACATCAAGTTTATGCCATAAAAAAAGGAATTACTTTGCGTATATAATTTTTAAGTATTTCTGCAGATTTTTCCTAAAGAAATACATATGGAGTAGCCTTGTCAGTATTACGAAAATTAAACAAGGAAGTAAATGATGTAATTACCGAAACGAGCTATCCCACCTCGTCATGTCCATGTGTAATCCATTAAAATGCAAAGAAAATTCACGAAAAAATCATTATAACATGTTTCTTCAAGTAATTCGACGTATTTTGAACGGAAAAGTACGTTTTTCCAAAAAACTGCAAACTGCCTGTAAGCTACGGCCGGATAAGGACACCACCATTGCCTATTTCTGCTAAATACGCCGTATTTCATCAACTTTTAACTGGGATATGTGTAAAAAAGTGTGTAAAACAACGAAAAATGACCTAACCTTGACGTCATTTCCAAAAATAACGCCAATATTCATCAGCTGATCAAATGACCTACGGCCGTCTACAGGCTGCCCAGAATACCAGAGTTAACGAATTGTGGGAGCAAGGGTTGGGTTATTCTAGAATGTTTTAACTTCTCGATGTAGAAGGTAAAACGGAATATTTTCTTAGAAATCATTAAGATATGAGACGACCAGGAAAGATCAGCAGATAGAATGACGCCTAGGTATTTAATTTCAGACTTGGTTTCTATTTCAGTGCCATCAATGTTGCACACCTCTTGAGTGCTAACCAGTTTGTTTAGGTCAAATTCGTGCCTAAACTGTTTGGCATTTGGAGGGGTTTAAGGTGAGACCGTCCTCCTTGGACCATTGGCTGACTTTTGATGAAAAGTCGTTTCGTTTAGAGCAGTCACTTTGACATTTGACTGGCAAAGATACAGTTAGGTCGTCAGCATATTTCACAAAATTAATGTCATTTGAAGATGGTAGGTCATATAGAAAGGAAAAAAGAGACGTGGGGAGAGAACAGCACTTTGGGAGACACCAGCTTCAGTGAGTACAGCAGAGGAGGATTCACCTTTGTATGCGGTATACTGCATTCTGTTAGACAAGTAGGAATGCAACCAGTTTGTGACCCAGGACTCAGTTTGTGTCATGGAGAGCTTACTTAGCAAGAGACATCTAGGTACAGAGTCGAAAGCAGAAGTGAAGTCGGGAAACGCGCAGCGAAAGTATTTGGCACCTTTATCTAATGATGGGACAATACTGTTGTGTAAGACGGCTGCGGCGTCCAAAGTGCTCCTACCCTGTCTATAGGCTTTTAAGGGAGGGTTCGAGTTTAAGAAGTACTAGTTTTTCCATAAGCTTTAGAAACGGGGAAGTGATAGCAATGGGTCTGAACTTTACGTTCTTGCTATTTCCAGGTTTAGGGTCAGGGACAATTTCAATCTCTTTCCATGGAACAGGTACAACGTTTTTGGAGAAAAAGCATTTAGGATGTTAGTTAGTGGAGAGCATAAAGCATCTGCACATTGTTTTAGAACATACGCAGGTATACCATTAGGGCCAAGGCTACGTGAGGGCTTAGGCGTTTTAAGACATTTTAGAACATCGAGAGAATTAAATTCATCAAAGTTATCAGCTACTTGATCAGTAACGTTAGAAGTGGTTATAGTAGAACGAGAGCGTATAAAAGACTGATTAAGAGCACTAACATCATAGGGGGAAAAATATTACATCGCTTACTATTGCCAGTAATTTCATTGAAAAGTTTCCACGTGCTGATAGGAGATTTGCATGATAAAAGTGTATGGTTATAGATAGCATTAAGATTTTTGATTTCAGATTTGATTTGGGCATTAATCATTTTAAGTTCTAACTTATCTTTGAATTTATATGATGTTTCTTTTGCCTGCGAGGTTGTTTGAGATGAGGAGGCGAGAAGCGGTCGAGGAGTTTGAAGTGTTTGTTTGGGACAGCATGTATCAAGGCAGAACTTAAGATGGTCCGTTATATTGGCGATTATGTCATCTGATGTACTTTCATTGAATAAATCCCAGTTAGCATTGTTTAACATGCACCTTAGATTGAGTAAGTTGTCAGATGTGTAGCATTGTGCTTTCATAGACAGGTGTGAGAAGACTTTAATATGTGTTTTGCTGTAAATTTTTGGTAAAACACGGAGAATGCAGTGATCGCAGTTAAGTATCGGTGAACGTCTACGTGTTTCATATACTTATTCGTCATTAGTAAAAACTGAATCGAGGGTTTTGTCAAGTCGATTGGAAATTTGACTATGTTTGTGTGACCAAGTGCTTCAAGGAAGGAGCAATCTGAGGAGCTGAAGTCTCCGGTAATAATGGATAGAGAGTTGTCGAAGTTGGCAGCGGCAAAAATGGTGAACTCGCCAGCAAAATTAGATAGATCATATGGTGAGCAACTAGGAGAAACGTACATGTTTGTAACAAAGATATGTTTATATTTAGGGAGATATCTGGGACGACATTTGACAGTAATACAGTCAATGAAGTCATCTGAGAATGAGAAGCAAACATTACTTGAAATAGAACATTTGGAGTGAATAAAAGTTGCAACGCCACAACCATTTTCCTTATTACAACACTGACGGTCTTGTCGTAATAGAAAGAAGTCCTTTAGTGAGATAAGATTGTCATCATACAGCTCATGTATATATATATATATATATCAACTTCAAATGTAATTCATTGCCTGTTTTCGCGTTTTCTTTATTTCTTTTTTTGTCTTTTTGTCTGAATAATTTGACTGGTGAAAGGATGAATTCCAATCACAGTAGCAACAAAGTCTTAACACACCGCATACTACAAACAGCACATGATTAATCCCAGCATTACACCTTTTAGAGTAAACCATAGCTACGACAGTCAAGTGACAGGACGAACTGCGAAGAAGTTTACCAAAGACTAAAAAACTTTATCTCACGATCAAGAGGCTAGCACGAAGAAATCAAATTGGTTTACACTAGCTCGTATAAACGGTATTGGACGCTGAATAAAAGTACTACATTTCAATGGTATTTTCAGCAATAGCAATGTTGCTGAGATAATGTGAATAACTATTCGTGATATGTAAATATGTGGTCAGCACTGATGTGTCATTCAGTCGTAATGCAAGAAGTATTTTAAGTCATCAGTACCATATTTGTTTGTACGATTCACTTATTTGCAACTAACCAATCAGCGACGCCCACATATTGACTGTCATATAAAACGTGTGTTTTGAGACGTTCAGTACTCGAAAGATGTATAGTTTGGTGTCGTTTTTGCTTATATTTGGATTTGTGTCGTGTGATAAAGTCTTGGAGCTTAATGAGGATAATTTCGAATCCGAAATAAAGTCTCGTCCTCTGACTTTGGTTAAATTTTATGCACCTTGGTAATTTTATGATGAAATCACTAATTTACATACCAAACAGGTGTGGTCATTGCAAACAGTTGGCTCCTGCATTTAAGTCTGCTGCAGATATTATTGCGGAAAAATCTGACAGTATAACACTTGCCAAGGTGGACTGTACTGTACATCAAAATTTATGCTCAAAATACAAAGTTGATGGATATCCTACTCTTAAAATCTTCAGAAACGGAGAGCTAGATAGTGATTATGAGGGTCCAAGATCTTCAGGTAATTGTAATATTACTACAACTATAATCCAGATGGGATCGTGAAATACGTTTTGTCACGGGCTGGTCCTGCATCAAAAGAAATCAGTGTTGCTGCCGAAGTTGAGGCCGTTGTTTCAGATAGTATGCCAACAGTGGTTGCATTTATCAAATCGGCCAGTGACCCCTTGGCTGCGACTTTCCTGGACCTTGCAAAGACTATGATAGACGATGCCGTGTTTTCCCACAGTCACAGTAATATTTTTGAGAATTCAGGAGACAAGTAAGTTGTTAACTATCTTCCAGTAATAGTACTTTTTAAGTGAGATCCGAGTGTATCTTCCTAAACGTCTTAGAACTAAACTGGAGAGTGATTTCAGTACCTACAAGGGAGATCTAAGCAAGCAAAGCATTAAGACTTGGATTCGCAAGAATGGGTAAGAATTCATAACTTTTCATCACCTTTGTTTAGTCATGGACTGGTTGGTTACAGGTCACCTAAGGACTCATTTTACTTCAGAGATTCCAATCTCGTTGTAATCTACAATAACCAGTCCATCGAGTCTTATCCAGCTGGTGTTAAATATTGGAGAAATCGTCTTTTAAAAACCCTTAAAGATCAAACAGAAAAGTTCAAAGATTTCACGTTTGCCTATAGCTTCTCCGACGATTTTTCTCACGAATTGTCTGAGTTTGGCTTAGATTCTGGCGAATTTCCAGCTGCTCGGATAAGATCCTCCGATAGTAAAAAGTATAAACTTGATAAATTCAGGTACGTCAAACTACTTTTTTCAAAATTCTCTTTAGTCTGAACTCTTTTATTGAATTCGTGAATAAATTCAAAGAAGGCTCACTATCCCCTTATCTAAAAACCGAACCACTCCCGTCAGACGAAACTACTGCTGTCAAGAAGTTGGTTGCTCTCAACTTTGATGAAATAGTGAATGATGAGAAAAAAGACGTCATGGTTGTATTTCACGCACCCTGGTGTGGCCATTGTCAGAACTTGATGCCTAAATATGAGGAAGCAGCCAAGAAGCTCAAGGATGAGTCTAATGTCATATTGGCTGCAATGGATGCAACTGCTAATGATGTACCATCACCATATGTAGTTAGTGGATTCCCGACGATATATTTCGTACCAAAAGCAAAGAAGTCTTCCCCTGTTCAATACCAGGTGAGTATGTGTATTTACTGACTTTTTCTTTAGGGTGGTCGAACTACTGAGGATATCATCAAATACATTGCACGTGAAGCCACTGATGAATTAAGTTGTTATGATAGGTCAGGCAATGAAAAGAAGAAAGAACTGTAGCATTTGAACACATTTTCTCACAACATTGTATTCTATTTCCTCATTTTTATTGATTGTTTATTACATTGTTATTTGTGATCTTGCTATATTTCTATGTGAAATAAATTTAACTGGTTCAAAAATTAGTTTAGATTCATAGTTGTAAAGAGTTATCATCATGCAGTGAAACCACCTTAAATTTATACTTCTACTAAAAACTGGTCGATGAAGCATTTTTCATATATGATCAGACCTTTTTGATTTTATTTCTATCAGTCTTTCCTATACGAGTCATAGAAGGCTTTATGGATGCTGCAGATATGTGCTTGGTAGGATGAGATCAATGGGACATCGGATGAGTACTTTTGCGTCACTTTTACGATTTGCTTTTGAAATACGAAAGAAGGCAGCAAACAGTCCGATGTTCACAAAAAATAGTTAACAGACATCAATCTTCACAGACGCCTTTGAATCATTCTACTTGAGAAGTAAGTCAGAATACAATGACACTAAAATAAATGCGGAGTATGACAGAAGACACATTACTGTTGAGGCTATAAAGAAACGGTTATTGATAATAACAATGTTACTATGTGGTTGTAAAATTTGTTCATTTAATTCCAGATGCAAACATTATATGGAGAGTTCTTCAACATAGTCATGCAGAAATTACGAAATTGAGGTACCAGTCTCTAAGTACCTGGAAGTATTTCCTAAACATCCAAGCAACTACATAACTTTCTCATGTCAGGTGAGGTGACTTACAAGTTTGTTACAGAAAGAGATGTGAAGCTCACGACCATCTACCGTGCCAAAAGCAAGATTTTGATAATTTTGAACGGCCTAGATCCATTTCGTAGTTAATTTTGGTGTGGGAAATATGCTCTCAGCTCACCTGTTGAGATTGCCTGTTTTTCATGTAGTCTACAGTAATATTGAACAGATTTTCACACGTTACCGATCTACTTTTTTGACATCTACCACTGTTTTAGTCAAACAGACCACCTTTTTTACCATCAGTTGTATGTTGTAAGCGTGCTTTTATGAGAATGTTTGTGAGTTGTACTGTGGAGCTAAGTTACCATATGATAAATGGCCTTCCGTAATATCTGAATAAAATGTAAATGAAAGAATACCAATTACATTATATGGATGATTCTAATAAGTGACCTTAACATATGACTTTGAAATTAAGTTAATACGTAACATATATCTTAATAATGTTGTACAAGTCTGTGTAGTCCTTTTTTGATTGTAATTCAGAGATGCGATATAAGTTTTTGTAAACTTGATATATTAGGGTTTATGGTACTGCTCGGCTACCACACAAATGTAAATGAAGCTGAGGTTTTAAATTGGGAACCCATCGAATGGCAGTTAGAAATTTAGACCTCTTCTCTATATTACAGGTTAAAAAGCATCCTGCATTACTCTAGAGTTATAGTTTGGTGATGAACTTTAATTTAAGAGTAGATTTGTTTTTACTTGAGTCACAAGGTCTTTAGTCATGAGTTATTCGGTCTCAATGAACAATGGATAGATTAAGTTGCTCGAGTTGTGTGGTAATATCTAGCTGTGAAGGTGCAAATATGATGCTCAGTTAACCATCGAAGAAGGTAAATTTTGTGCACCAGTTCGTTCTATTCCACTTTATGACTAATGAGAGGTGATCATTGAGCGTAGAAGACAAATTTTGCAAGCATTTAATCGTAGGTATTTTCATTCACGTGATCATGCCTGGTGTTACAGTATGGTAAATATTTATAAAATGAGACAGTCTGAAATGGAAAATAAGTCGATCATTGCGGTTGTGAATTTTCATTTATTGAGTTGATTGGTACATGTAGTACGCATTGTAAACCACCAACCTTCCCCAGCAGGAAATGTTATCTAGGATAGGATTCTGTTGGTATGAAATTTTGAGTAGTCAGAACAGAACATGGTAACAACCTATAAAGTGATTTGATATTGGTTTAAGCAACGTACCAAGGTGTCAGTGACCTGGTTGTGGTCTTGAAGAAACGAAGCGAAGTTGTCGAATTTGTTTGAGATCGTTCACAATAGTGAAAGGACGCCTACTGCAAAGCACTTAAACTCTCGACTTCCTAAATTGCCTAGTTTATCGGAACTCACCCCCCCCCCCAATAACTGATGTATATATATCTTCTTCGACAATACTCTGAGAGGTGTAGTCGAATAAAAGGTGGCAATTTAATACGAAATTTACTTCATTCCGATTAATAGGCGAATAGATTAAGTCGAATCTAATCGTATCCTTTAGCTGGATTTTTATAGGCAAAGGTTGGAAAGTACACCAGAAACTAAATATAAGGTATTGTAAGATAAGAGGAGAATACAAGGAAGCGTATGCTACTGTTAATATATATCTGAAAAATAAAACAGTCCTATCGAGAAGTAAAACAACTCAAGAAAGATATTGATCTGATGCATTGGTTTGTATTATATTTAATCTAGTGTTATCATACTACATTTCTGAATGGTTCATCGGTGGCTCGATGTCAGAATTCTCACCAGCCACACATAAGGCCCTTCCGTAACCCGTATTACGTCTGGAAATATTGGGAGGTTGGTTGTCAAGCTGCCAAGTCCCTCCAATAAAAACTACATCACAGCTACTGGAACTCCAAAGCTTGAAGCCCTATCTTCTACTCGGAAAACAATGAATGAATGTAAAAACTACCTTGAAGACTGGTGTATAAATAAACAGGAAAATTCGATGTACAACAATCATGAATAAAATATGGGACAAAGATTTACATTAACAGGATTGTAACTAGCATCTAGTAAAGCGAAACTCATATCCAGTCAATAATTCCATAAGGTGTCACGTTATTATTCTTATTCAAATCTCACTACAACCTTGGCATTCCTTAGAATTTAATATTCATTTCAATTAGTAGAATGATATCTATCAAAGAAATCCATGGGGTAGTTCAACTAAAAAATTCATATAATTTAGAAGTTGATTGTGGAGATAGATAGGTTTCGATTGAGAATCTGAATCGGCTAGAGTAGCGTTGATGACCAAAGTGGATTCGTTAACTGTCTCATCCCAGCATAAAAATCTTCATCAGCTTACATCACTATACCTCAAAGAACTTTGATATATAAAACCAACTGGAATTCGGTTCACGATCAACAGATGAATTAGTTGAGCACTTCAATTATTTGTATGACTGCACTGACCGTAGTGAGTGAAAGGGCAACACAATTTCCATGTGATTAGATAAACGGCGCATCATTAGACAATGTCGCTCATAGTGCTGATAATAGACTGATGAATATCACAGGAATGAATGAGAGCTGTGTTTAATTCAATCCTTCTCGATAGCGTGAGTGGGCATTGTCAAAATGTGGTGAACTGACACGGAATGCCTATTTATTGCTCCTTAATTTCCAATGAATTTCATCTGGTATCACTTTGTCCCATTGTGACAACTTGAACTGATACACCTTTATGCAGAGTTCGGCGTTGATGAGTTAATCGGTCAACTTGTGAAAGAAAAGCTATCGTTCAAATGATTGGTATACTGTTAGAAGATACTGACGTTGAATGAATGAAGTGACTTGAAGGAGTTGAAAAGTGTGAACCATTGAATTCTAATTCATTGTGAAGCACTGGCTTTTAGTTTTATAATCCTGATATTTCTAGCAGCTGTTATAGAAAAAAATATTGAGCTGTGATCTGGGTTTAGGTCCGCTGAAAATGGATGATACCTGATGGTCAATTAAACTTTCATGTGCGGTTTTGCTTACTGATGTTTTCGATATAATAGCTATGGAGTGTTTCACTGTGTGTGGTAGATAGATGTCAAACTAGGCGATTTGTTTGTTGCGATCCTACATTTGGTGCAGTGGATAGGTTGAGGCCAGGCACTTGCTTTCCCAATTGTCATGCTGTTTGATATACTAAAAGATGATCTTTGACAACTATCTGATATCAGAGTTGATAGCTCAGATATATCACCGGTGGGCAAACTTAACAATAACTTGACTCTTCAAATCTCAGGCGTATCACATATTTTGATAGGAAGAGAAATAATTCGTAATGAAAACTACTACGTCTCAGCACTGACGAATCGTTAGTGAAGAAGCGTAAAGGATCGTTGCACTTCGAAGTAAATTAGTATTAAGTAACTCTACTAAATTAATTATTCATATTCTGATTGATCTGAATAGAATCTTTCGGTAGGAAGAATCATAATAGCCTTGTAAAGTATCATTATCTGGGGTTCGTCATAATTACATCATTCGTTACTAAGCAAGTTTCATCCGTCATGAATTAAAGTAACAGTTGTTTACTTGGACTGATCATACTTATCAACATTTCCCAGGTTCAACTACTTTGTTGTCGAATACAGTATATCTGAGTGGGACTTTACAGAAAAATGGGTCACGTCAAATTCATATTAATTATCCTATATCTTAATCTCACGCCAATATACGTAGTACATGTTTCAGCCACCTAAATCCATGGAGCGTGACGACCACAACCGTCAAACTCCTACGCACAAAACCCATGTCACGTAGTCATTAAGGAGTACAGAATACACTACTTAACAGTAGACATCCTTTCATGAGTAGCTAGATACCACATCTGTGCTAAAGTTGACCGAATTTGGCAGATGCCAAACGAATCTTTAGTATTCGTCCTGAAATTTAGCCAGTAGCTAGTCCATTATAGCTTACGCAGCTTCCAGAATAAGTAAAGTGGTCAACCGATTCAGCTTTCCTTAAATTAAGAGTTGGCACACATCAGTCCTGTAGCATCAGGCTACATTTGATAGGGTTGAAGTGCATGCCCAGCATATTCAAATTACTGCCCGATTCCGTCTGGTGGTTCTGCATTCTCTTTGAGTAAAATGAAAGTACTGTCTGCATACTTTAGGTCATCGAGGATTCACCCTGGTAACAGGCCAATCTCTAAGACGTAGAATTCGAGCAGTTCACCTTCATCATTATATCTATAGTACAACTGAACAAAAATGCTGACATTAGGC